TGAGCAACTATATGATTTCTTACCTATCTTGGCAATCAATAACTACTATTCAAACTTTCCATCACCATAAAAGTATGGTCAATTTTATTTTGCTATGTCTTCATCAGATTTTTATCTTTTCAATAAGCAATAACCATAGTTTGTCCAAACACCTTCAATAGTTATATCTTCTGTTGATAAAAATAATGCTTGCTTCTAATCACTATGTCATTGGTTCATTGTGGGCTGTTGGTTACACAACCAGAGTACCAGACATAAAAAAAGACGATTAAAATACTTGTTATTGTTGTTGCGACATATTAATTGACAAATATAAAGCAAATGGTATAATTTGAGAAAGTATCCGTAATTCTTTTATTGATGTGGAAACTAATATTAACACTGAGTCCCTAAGTCAAGTAGAACGGTTTTGCTAGGTCAGTCCTGACCACTTAGTCCTGTTAGTGGACCAATCTTGCTGAAATTATACCAGAACAGATCTAAATCAAATGGTTTGCTGGGTTTCAAAAAAACGGCATCAAGATTAGGAAGATATGGTCATTTTGTCAGAGTTGATATGAGGAAAGTTATACCATAAACCGTGATGTGGTCATAGGAGAAAGAAAGGTTTGTAACCTCTCGGACCTGATGACCGTTCTTGGCTTAGAACGTCATATACAGTCTATCTATTCCAGTATATCTTCTGTGAAAGTATGCTCAGACTCTCAAAAATGGATGAACTCTATAAACATTCGCCTTAGATCTGTGGTTAGAGTGTATGAAACCATCCTGCAATAAATATCTTCATTTGTATGTGGTCGGGTTGCAAACAATTCACCGGTGGATCCCAAGATAGGCTTTTGGTAGCAAAGGTTAAAAGCACTTTGAACAACATAGTGCAGAGTTATGTTGAAGCTAGAAAAGGTTCAGTTGAGAAGAGTGTCACTCACGAGTTGTTCTGTTTGTTACATTGGTTCTGTGAATTTCAAGTCATAAAGAAGGTCTCACAATGACATTGAGGAGTTCTGCTACTGTGCAGTGGGACTTTGTGCAATTAAAATGCGGTAAAGTTCTGGCCAAGAAGTCCTGAACTCTTCACAAGTTCACTGGTTCTGCAATTTCGTTCGTTTTCTCTCCTGAGATTATCTGCAGTTAAAAGGAAATGGCTAAGAACTCGTATGTCCGACGTCTACGTTAAAGCTGCAGTTTCTTCCAACATTGTTGAACATATTTCGAGAGTAGTCTTCTTCCGGTTGGTATTCACTATGACTCACAGAAATGCTTAGCTTACGAGAGCACTAGACTACATGGCAAGTTTCCTAGTGGATCTCGACAAACAGATAATTGAATCATTATTTATATCTGTATACCAATGAAGCGAAATACTAAAGGAAATGGAGATCATTTTGTCCAAATTATTTTGGTCCTAAACCCCCTCATGGTTAATCACATTGTTTAACAGATTAGCATTGGCCAATCTCACTTTGAGAGATAAATATTGCAATAATATTTTAGTAAGGGTAATAACCTAGAGATCCTGTACCAGCTGCTAGTGCAGTGGGATGGAATGGTGGATGGTTTCCATCACTTATGTAATCTCAGGATGTGACTAACTCTCGTCTCCCAGTTATAGGAATGATGGAAACCAGGTGCTAACCTAAATAAATGTCAGAATGTCTAAAGCTTTCACCATAGTGTGATCTTTCTGTTGGTAGCTTCTCTTTTGCACTATCAGATCTGGCTGGCCAAAGATGTTGGTGACGAGAAGCAACTTACAATACAAATAATGAAAATCACAGCTCACGTGAAATTTGAGATATATCTATATATTTACAATCATCTCCATAGCCTTGCAACTGATATAGACTGTTCATGTACTGGGTACTTGTTATTTTAGTCACCCTTGGGTGTGTAGGGCTAGTTGACTGTGGCCATTGACCCAGAGTTATAGCTTATAATGCTATCTCCCCAGAAATAGATTTTCTGTGTTCATTGGCATGTTGTAATGACTCTCCCTGTGTCGCAATTCGCAGTCATACAGCTCCAGACTCCATCAAAAGTTTTAAAATACTCTGGTTTCTGAACCACATGAAAACCAGAATATCGGTTAAAAATAATGGTTGAAGGTCCAGCTAAGCAGTTGTGAAACGC